TTACTCTCTGATACATGTGAATTAAGTTTATGTTATTAGCTTTTAGATTAAAGAATGCACGTGCTTTTGAAGTTGCAACTGGATAAATGAATTTAACAAATGTTAACCTAATATATCAAAAGTAGAATAAGATCTGGGCAAGATGGTACATACCTTTAATTCTACTACTCAGAAGACAGAGGCAAGGCCTCTAAGAGTCTAGCCTGATCTACATAGCAAGTTCCAGGCCAGACAGTGATACATGGTGAGACCCTGTCTTAATATACCAGAGAAAGAGAGAGAGAGACAGAGACAGAGACAGAGACAGATAGACAGAGACAGACAGACAAAGACAGACAGACCAACAGACAGAGACAGATAGATAGAGACAGAGGTGGGGATAGAGCTCAGTGGTAGAGCATTTGCCTAGCATGTGTGAGGCCCAAGATTCAATTCCTAGTAACAGACTAAGTAAATAAATTAATAAATGGAAACAGACCAAGAGTTCAGGATTCACATAGGGTGAGTTTGAAGGAATTTCTTTAGGTGTGGCAGAATACAGAGAATAGCATCAGCTCACTGTAAGCAGTGCTCTCACGCACACACTGTTGCCATGATTGCAGAGGAGGTAGACGGGAAGGTGTGGAGAAGGGATAGAGGGATGAGTATTTACCTGTTATTTCAGGTATTCTCCTTATCAAAGGCTCAGATAGGTGAGCAGGCTGGTTTGTCTGTTCATGAATCTGGATTTGAGCCCTCAAATTGCACTTGGTGCTTCAGCAGTGAGACTGAAATGTCTCACTCAAACATTCTGAAGCAAGATGCTCACACTGGCATCGCATAGCAAGACAGGCTCACATGATGGATTTAGTTCCACTGGCAAGAAGAGGGCCATTTACTTAGGACAAAAAGGACAAAAAAGGAAGAAAGAAAAAGAAACCTTGACATTTAATTTGTGGCTAGAAGAAAAAACGTTTAGAAATAAAAGTTCTGGATTGAAGTATTCTGGCATGAATAGGAACCATCTTGTGTAGCAAAAGGAGACAGAACATTGTTGTGGGAATGGAGAATATGTCACTTTTAATTGCTGAAATCTGGAAAAACATCACAAAAGACTAGGGTGGGGAGCTGGAGAGATGGCTCTGTGGTTAAGGGTACTGTCTGCTCTTGTAGAAGATCTGGGTTTGATTCCCAGCCCCAACATGGTAGCTCACAACCATCTCTAACTCCAGTTCTGGGGAATCTGGTGGATGGATGTGGTATAATTATATACATTTATACAATACAATACAATAAAACACATTTAAATAAATCAATAAATAAGGTTCCCAGTACCCACATCTGGTGGCTCATTAGCTCCTGTAACTCAAGCTATAGCGAATCCAATGCCCTCCCCTGGCTTTTTCAGTCATCTGTACACATATACACACATAAATAAAAATTAAACAAATCTTTAACAATGGGATGAGAGAACAGAAATTAGACAAGAGCTAGATGTGGAAGGAGAGAGAGGCTGCTGCTGACTAGCTTCTGTGTCTCACTGTTGGGCAAGAAAGTCCCCAATGGTGTTCCATTCAATATGAAAGTTGGCCAGTCATCACGAAACAAAGTTTCACATTCCCTTTTGTTTGCTTATGAGACTATTACAATTTGGAGGCCCACTCTTCCTCTCATAGTCTCTTTAGAGCTTAAAGCTGAGTTACACTCAGACTTTCTTCTTTTCTGTCTGACCTTTCCTGCCCTCCCCCCTTTCTTCTTCCTGCCCTTGCACTGGTTCATTCGCAGGGTGGTTGCTGAGCTTTCCCAGACTCCTCTTCCTTCCTGGGTCCCACTCTGAGCTTTCCCTCTCCAGCTGCCCTCTCACATGTCTATCCCAATCTTGGTATCTAGACTCTTCGAAGACATGGAGAGATTCACAAGAACTTGGCTTTGCCATGGCTCAGAACCGCACCCTGAACAGCTGGGTTACGTAAGCCAGCACGTAAGGAAACACATCTGTATCTGCCACACCTGGAAGCTGAGGCAGGAAGGTCCACGTTGATGTTAGCTTGGGAGGGCGATATCTGTCTCAAAAACACAAAAGAAAAATAATAAGATAATAATGACAACAACAACAACAAACTAGACAGGGGAATGAAGAACAAAGAGAAAGTGGAGCAAAGGAAGAAAGGGAAGAAGGAACAGGGGCCAGAAAGGAGGCGGAGAGGAGCAAGAGAAAGGGTAGAAGAGGGTTTAGCAATCTTAACTGTTAGAAAGTCTTATTTTTTTTTTTAAATTCTAAATGTTAACTAAATGGTTATCTATTAAAAAGTATTTCCTACCAGTTCTGATTCTATAACAAATGGAATCAAGGAGCAGCGCTGTGGGGGTGGGGTGTGTGGGGCTGGGGGTTGAGATCTCCTGGACAGGAGCCAGTGGCCATGCCACTTTATTACTAGTGCACTGAGAGGGGCAGAAAGACTCGACTTATTTACTCCTCATAACAGGGTCGTGGGTTTCGTCCGGAAACACGTCTTGGAAAGCCTGCCTTCACGTTTCTGTTAACAACTTAGCCGATATCAAGGACACCAGTTTTAAACAGTAGCCGAACAAAGACTGACATCAAGTGTTCTTTGTTCGTGCACATGTGCTTGTGTGTGAGTGTGCATGAATGATTATGCTGGAGCGTGTGTGCATGAGTGCGGAGGCAAGAGGCTCAGGTATCATTCATTCCACCTCCTTCACGACAGTCTTGGTGGCCTAGAGCTGGCTACAAAGCCAAGGCTGGCTAGGGAGCTCAGCAGTCCATCTGCCTGCGTCCACCTCCTCAGCACCGGGCGCCTTTCCTTTTCGTAATTAAAACGTTATTTTTTAAAATTCATGCTATTTCTAGTTACGTGAATATACGGATGTGTAAGCATATGCCCTTGAGTGCAAGCATCCGCTGAAGACAGAGGCAATAGTTCCCCTGGAGTTGTGCGTTCTGGGATCAATCCTGGGGTCTCTCCTCGTCAGTCTTCTTTCTTTCTCGAGGCAGGTTCTCTTATTCAGTCTAGGCTAGTCGCCAGCGTTCCTGCCTTCACTTTCCCACTGTTGAGATTATAGGTATGTTCTATAAGCTTGGCTTCTAAATTCTTGCCCATCCAAATCTTTCCGAATTTTTAAAGTGTGTGTGATGTAGAAAAGAAACGATCGAGACTGAAGTTGTTATTCACACCCTGAAAGTTGTTGACCCTTTATGTCCATAAGGTATTGGTGCTGGTGCCTCAGATTTTCTTGTCGACGCTTCCTTGTAAACTTCTGAGTGTATTTTTATATATTTAGTTTAGGACGGAATCTCCCTAGGCAGCATGGACTGGCCTGGAATTCACAGAGATCTGCTTGCCTCTGCTTCCGGAGTACTGGAATTTAAGACATGCATCACCACAGAAGGCTTAAAGTTTTGGATGTTTAAAAAGAAAAGTGGAGTATAAAAATATAGTTTGGGCCATTTTCCATACTAATCTTTAAAAATATTTCTGGGAGCTGGGTGTGGTGGCACACACCTGTGATCCCAGCACTGGGGAAAGCAAAGGCAGGCACATCTCTGTGAGCTCAAGGCTAGCCTTGTCTACAGGACAGCCAAGACTACACAGAGAAACCATGACTCAAAAAACCAATATATATATTTCTGGGAGTATATAGAAAGTTGAGAAGGATTACAAAAGAATCCATGAGTGTTTGTGTGGTAAGGTTAAGGGACCTATGAAGAGGCTAGAGTATTTGATGAGAAGTTATATTAATTAACTTGTTTAAATCAACATGTTTTTGGACACATACGTTCACATAACAGTGTGAAGTTTTAGGCTTGAAATGCACATTAAACTTGAAAATCTCTCTTTCTCACTGTTTTAAAGATTTATTTATTTTAGTATTTTATGTGTATGAGTGTTTTGCCCGCATGTATGTGTATACCACATGCATGCTTGATGCCTGCTGAGGTCAGAAGAGGCACTGGATCCCCTGGGGCTGGAGTTACAGACACTGTCAGTGCCATTTAGGTGCTGGGTCCTCTGCAAGAGTCCCTAAGTGCTCTTAACATTTGAGCCAACTCTTCAGGCTCTTGAAAAAAATCTCTTTATAAAAATCTTCTATTGTTAGAAAACACTATTCTATTGTTAGTAAAACTAAGGCTTTACTGCCGGCTTAACAGCTGGAACACACTGTTGGGGGCTTAAAACCCGTCTGCTAAGACACTTCATTCTATGCAAGGCTCTGTCAAAAAGTGATTGATGTGTCTCTAATATTCTAGTTAGAGCCGAGAAATCAGGACGCAGCAAATAACGTGGTGATGTATTAACTGCATCTGTTACTGAATGGCTTCCCCAGCTCTTGTTTACGCAAGAATAAGCCTGTAAAATCCGCGACCGGATTGCAAGAACAACGATTCCTGATGTCCTTTGCACATTACGTCTTCATAAGGTTTATCAGTCTTTCTCAAATCCCTGCAGAATAAGACCTCTTGACCCGAAATCTGTCACAATTATAGGCCACATTCCTTACCCATGTTGAGAGAAGCAGGCTTTTGCTTGCTCCCTTTTTAGCCTTTCACATACTGTTTTCCTTTCATCGCCTCCACCCTCATTCTCTGTAAATCTTTCATTCTCCACTTCTTTCTTTCATTCAGAGGAGGCCAGGTGCTTCGATTTGGATTATCATCTCATTCAAAATGGTGCCACGTCACCCACCGGGCAAGTACGGGGAAAGGTGCTGCCATTGCTCCTGCCAGCGTGGAGCCCCGCCCTCTGCTGCTCACCTGCTCCAGGGGAAATGACACAGAGGCCACTGTCACGAGCCGGAGGTCCCACGCCCTCTGGAGGGTCTGGGTCCCCTTGGTCCCCGTCCCCCTCCTCCTCCTCCTGCTCCGCAGAGCCGCCCCGCCTCTCCCGGATCTGGCACTGCCGAGCGCATTGATTTGCATATTTCTACCTTTGTTCCCAGGCGGTGGCCAATCAGAGCGCGGGGCGAGGCGGGGCGGCGGGGCGGGGCGCGCGATCGGCGGGGCTTCGCCGTCGCAGGTTGCAGAGCGGGTGGGAGCCGCTGCGGGCGCGGCACTGCAGCCCCGAGCCTGAGCCCCGGACCCGAACCCCGAACCCAGCCACTGTCCCAGGAGGCCAGGACCCAGAGGATACCCGCCAAGCCCCGCGGAGGACGCCCGGACCCGCGGGCGCCCGCTAGCCCACGCGCCACCATGGTGTGCGGGGGCTTCTCGTGCTCCAAGAACTGCCTGTGCGCGCTCAACCTGCTGTACACCGTGAGTAGCCCGCGCAGGGTGGTACCTACGGGCCTCCCAGGCCTCCGCCACGGCCCGAGCGGCCGCCTGTGCCCGCGTCCCCCGCCCGGGACCCCCAGCCTGCACGTCGCAGTCTCCGCCCGCCCTTCATTGTGGCGCTCGCCCCTGGCCTTGCCTGCTCTCTGCAGCCCTCGGTTTTCGCATCCCTCCCCACCCCGCCGTCCCTCCCCGCTCGCTCATTCCTTCCAGCAGCAAGCTCCCGGCTGGCCATCCCATCTGGAGGTGCTCGGAGGCTGACACCTTGCGGGGTAGCGTGGCCTGGCGTGGGCCGGGCGGCCTGAGGATGGCGCGCTCCTGGCTCAGCCCCGAGCGCTGCCTTTTGAATGGAAGCCATGGAGCGGGCTCACAGGATGTCCGCGGCTTCCGAAGTTTGTTTCGTGCTTACATAAAGTCTCTTTGTTGATGTTCCTGCCAGTGAGGTTGCAGCATGATGCTTTTTCCATGCGGTCTTCCTCCTCCTCTGTCAATATTCTAACACCATTTTAGGCGAAGACCTTCAGTACGTAACCCCCCCACCCAAGGCGTTTTTGCTTTTGTTTTTTCCTCCCTGCTTATCAGCATGTGCCTCCCAGTTTTAACGTTGAAGGGTCGCGTTGGTTTTTGAGGCGTAATTCTGACTGAACAAGAGGAAGACAAGATGACGTTTATTGAAAACCTTTTACACCCCAGCCTTTTCATCTGTCATTTTGTTATCTGTAGCAAGCGGGGCTGTCTAAATTTTATAAGGGGAAAGAGCAAGACGGGCTTGAATAAGTTTTCATAGCTGGTAGTAGGTGGGTCTGGAACTGTGGAGTCTAGACCTTTCCACAAGCTGCCTCGACTGTGGAATCAACTTCCTTTAGGTCATCTCCACCGCAGACTTGCTCCGATCTATAAATACACCTGGTGCTTACAGCACCCACCCTGAAAACAAACCCAGCTCCCCTGCATTAGAGCCAGGCCATCTGGGCCAGCTTAGGTTACATCCATGAGCTAGGGAGGCTGCGAGGCTGCTTGTGGATGGGCAGGCGGAGACACCGGGTCGTTCTCCCCCCCACCCCCTTTTTTTGGTATGTGTCTGAACATGACGGCAAATCTTTGAAGGCAGGCCGGAAATAGACATCGGTGGCCATGCTTTTTCTGGCTAGTTCTTCGGAATCCAGTCAACATGTTCAGAGATGGTACGCTTGGAAGGAAGATTCTAGAACACGGTGGTATAGCTCCTTGTCATGGAAGATCCATGTCAAGTTCCATATCAAAATCCACCTGTCTGATGCGAAGCACGCCTACCATATCGCTTATTGAGCAAATTCCCATCCATTCTTGAACTGTTTTCTCTGACTACCGTGAATGATCTGCTTAGAAAGTCACATTCTGTTTGGTGCCTTGAATCCTCCTCCCCCTTCAATGATTCAGTCGTCTGTTTACCTGATTCTCCATCTTACAGTGTCTGCTTACACACAGTACAATGGCTGCTTCTCTGCTTCCTTGCTTGTCTATATACGTCAATGTGCAATGAATACATTTTTAAAAAGACAGGTTTTTTTTTTTTTTTCAAATCAAGTGTAATATCGCTTTCAAGATACAATTTTTTCCCTCTAGCCCTAGTTACAGCATGGCATGAAAGCAAAGCGAAAGAAAAGTTGACCCTAAAAGGATATGTTAAGATTACTTAATACCTGTCCTAAACTATTGGCCTCCAAAGTGTTTTATAGATTTTTATAAGACATGCCATAAAATTTAATTAATTGGAAAAAATCATGTAGCCTTTTAAAGTCCTGGACTGTTTTAGAAAAACAGACATTTCTTAAAATAAGTTATTATCTAAACGTTGCAAATAGGTTATAATATTATAAATGTGACAGTTTAAGTGGGAGGTGAATAAAAGGTAAAGTTGGACTAGAATTTTAATATCTAGTTAAACATCTGTGTCTTTCTTGCTCTCTCCCTCTACATTTTAAGATGAAAAAAATACAGGATTGCTGGCAGAGTTGAATGTAGAGACTAGACGTTGCTTTTTTTTTTTTAAGGACAGGAATGAAAAATCCTTCCTAGCTTCCTGGCCCTGGTAACTGCCTCTAAGTTCTGCTCAGTGCTGCAGGATTAAATATGAGGTCATTTCTGAAAAGTGTTAGATTAGAGGGTTGAAAGCCCTTGCCCGGGTTAGACTTCATCACCGTTGCTTTCAAGCGTTTCCTGAGGAACTTCAGACACTATCAGCTAATCTGTGTGCATACTCTAGTGATGTAATGAGGCAGTGTGACCAGTCTAGAAATAGAAAGCAGGTCTCTAAGACAAGTTAGGAGGAACATCCCCTAATTTGTGTTGGGAATTCAGTGACTCTATGGCGGTTAATGATGGATTTTTGTTCTTTTCTGCCACGCTTCCTTTAACTAAGGAGATGCCCAGTGCTGGAATATCCTTGGGTTAATGTAGTGTACGTACAGTATGTGAAGTATGGAGGAAAAGGGGAAGCCGAGTGGGTGTTGAAAGGGAAAGGGCCGCTTGCTTCAGAACTTCCTGTATTTAAAGATGGAGGTTCTTTAGGTAACAGTGCTGAGTGTGTGTGTGCTTACTGTGTGATGACATTAGTCTCAGCCTGGAAATGCAGTAGCAAACCAAACAGGGCTCTAATGTTAAGTATGTTTTGATGAGGCTGTGTTTCATTTCTTGCATATGGTCTCCAGGACTGCATTCTACCAGTAAGCTTTTGTCTATCTTGCACTCTGCTGACATCTGTGGGAAATGAATACACATAGAAGGTACCAGTGGCCCTGCATGTAGGATCTAGTTGGGATATTAAGTGATGTGTAAGGACTTAGACACCATAACATTTAGGACTAAGTAAAATCTTTCTGAACTAGGAATAAGGAAGGGATGTTTGGCTGGGCGGTGGTAGCACACGCCTTTAATCCCAGCACTCGGGAGGCAGAGGCTGGTGGAAATCTGTGAGTGTGAGGCCAGCCTGGTCTACAGAGCAAGTTCCAGGACAGCCAGGGCTACACAGAGAAACCCTGTCTCCAAAAACAAAAGCAAAAACAAAAAAAAACAAAAAGAAATGTTTGACTTGAGGAAATGAAGAAATAGTTTGTTAGTCTCTTTCATATCTTCAGGACACAAATATAAATTCCACTTAGTCTGGGAAATTAATTACTTTATTTACTTTGAGACAGGATATTGCCCAGCCTGTCTCTAGAGTCACCGTGGAGCCCAGGCTGTCCTCAAACTTGGAAACTTCTTGCCTCAGCTTCTTTTTTCTTTCAGTTGTTTAGCAGTTTATTAAAATGGTTAGTGTGATACATAAGTTCCTTTTAATGCAGAATTCCAAAATTTTAAGGGCGAAAGGAAAGTTTCAGATACGAAACATAGTTATCATACTATCAAATAACTCAATTGGTGGCATTTTAAAACTGTCTCCAGGTTTTGTAGCAAGAGCTAGGGAAGCTTTCAGAATCCTCTCTATCTGAAGTCCCTGATGTTTCATTTTGGTAAGTAATCTCAGAAATGCTCAGTATAATACGTCTTGTATTCCAAATCCCTGACTCAGCTTCTTAAGTGGCAGGGTGACAGAAATCTGTTACCGTGCTCTGTATTATGATATATGTTTAGATTACTGTGTTTATTTATTTATGTGTATGCATATGTGTTTATATGCAAACATGTCTGTGTACCATGTAAGTGCTATGCTAGTTCCATGGCATAGCATCCCATGGAACTGCAGGTACAAATGGTTGTGAGCCATGTTGGGTGCTGGGATTTGAACCTGAGTCCTCTGTAAGAACAGCAAGTGCCTTCCTCCTATCGTCTCCCCAGCCTCCGAATATGTTTTAATTGGAAACATTTTCATAAATGTTGAGAAACAATTAAAAAAACTATAGTTATTTATGGAAAATTATAAGAAATTGAAATAAGCGTATTAAAATATGTAACATTTTAATATTTGTTAATTTGTTCTGGTACTAGCGGCTAACCCCAGGGCTTCTACCATGTTGGGCGCATGCTTCCCCACTGAACTATATTCCTCTCCCTGCATTTTGAAAGTTTATGATGCACTCGCTGTGCTAACCTACAAAAGAGAATTCAACTTAAAAAAAAGCATTTGAATAGATGATTTTGTAAAATAGGATCAAATAGTAAAATGACGTTTTTACTGTACTCTGGCCTTTCAGAAGAATGTTTTTACTGTACTCTGGCCTTTCAGAATTGCCCTGCCATGGTGACAAGAAGTGTATGACAGCTGGAGTTTGATCCCCTGTGTCCTCCCACCTTTGCGCGTATGCCGTGAGGCGTACTCTCCTGGCCCCATATACACAGAGACATGAGTTCACAAAGTCAGAAGAAAGTTGCAATGCCATCTTCTGGGTGGGGGTATACATTCCAGTTAGCACGTGGGAAGCTGAGGCAGGAGGATAGCCACAAGTATGAGGACAACTTCGGCTGTATACGGAGACCATTTCTCTCCCCCAGCCTCAAATTAAAAACAGAATTGCATGGCCAGTTTATATATATGGAGACAGGATGGTATCGTTAATAATCCCTTTTTTTTTTTTTATTTAAACTATAGGCATGGTTTGATATATAATATAAATGGGTTTAAAAATATATGGGTTGTAACTTCAAAAAATAACTTATAAAGTTAAAATCATAAATTTCAGAAATTATAGTTTTTTGTTTTTGTTTGTGTGTGTGTGTGTGTGTGTGTGTGTGTGTGTGTGTGTTTGTTCATTCTTCAAAAATCTTCCCAGGTTTTTCTCTTTTACTTTTTCTTAATTTGAGAATCTTGACCAGTTTAGCTCAGGTTGGCCTTGAACTTGTTACCTTCCTGCTTGACCCTCCCTATACTAGGACTGCAGGCATTCCTCACCATGCCTACCTAAATTCGTTTACTTTCTTCTTTTCTTGGTACATAACCCATTTTACAGTTTCGCCCTCTACAGAAGCAGTTCTCAACCTTCCTAATGCTGCGACCCTTCAATACAGTT